CATAACTTTAAAAATAATTAAAATTAAATCACATGAGAATATTAAAACCAAATTTTCTTTTTTAACTAATTTATCTTATTTAATGTTTGTTTTTATGGATGTGATATCAATGTAACCCCATGAGATTTTACCATTCAGCAGTGGTTCATCAATTCACCCATACTCCACCATCATACACCATTGCTTCCTTCCCTCTTTCCCTCACTCCTCCCCCATTTCTACCCCTTACCCTAAACCAGGTGCTTCAGTTCTGTAGTTAGCTATTAACAGTTTTTAACTGACTCTTGATTTAGTTAGTTTATGTATCATACAGCCAGTATTTCTTTCTCCCTTCCGCTTTATTTAATTTAGCATTATCCCTTCAAGCTTCATCTTTGTTGCTGCAAATGGCATGAGTTTACCTTTTTAAATCTTAGTAGTATTTCAGGGTGTATATATGCCAGATCTTCTTGACCCACTCATCTGTTCTGGGGCACTAGAATGGCTTTTCAGGAAAACAGTGTTGCTTTCCTAGTTCAGCTATATTAAATAGTGCAGTAATAAACATGGGAGTGTAGTTTCCTTTCAAATTAATATTTAGTTTTTGTACTTTTGGGGTAAATGCCTAGCAGTGGAATTACTGGGTCTAATGGTAGATCCATGTTGAATGTTTTGAGACCCCTCTTACTGCTTTCCATAAGAGCTGGAAGAATTTACGTTCCCACCAGCAGTAGAGGAGGGGCTCTTTTCCTCCACTTCCTCACCAGCACTTGGGTCTGTTCTTTTCAGTAGGGACCATTCTCACAGGTGTGAGATGGTATCTCATTCTAGTCTTGATTTACATTTCTCTAATAATAAGTGATTGTGAACATTTTTGTTCATGTTCCTGCTTGTTATTTTAAACTCTTCATTGGAGAATTATCTGTTTAGTTATTTAAACCCATTTTTGGATTGGGTTGATTGTTTTGGTTTTGTAGAATATTATGAGTTCTTTGAATAACTTGATATCAGTCCTTTGTCCGATGTGTGGTGTGCAAATATTTTCTGCCATTTAGTGGGGTCCCTTTTCATTTTAGTTTTCATTTCTTTTCCCGGTAAGGAAGCTCTTTAGCTTGAAGTAGTCCCAGTTGTTTATGGTTACTTTTGTTTCCTGGCTGTTGGGGACAGATCCCTAAAGGTATCACTAAAGCTTGTGTTATGAAATGTTTTGTCTGTGTTTTCTTCTAGTATTTTATGGTTTCATGTTTTACATCCATGTCTTTTATCCATTTGAAATGATTTTTATATGTTGTGTGGGACAGTCGTGTAATTTCATTCTTTTGCATGCAATTCTCCAGTTTCCCCAACACAATTTATTGAAAGGCTGTCAGTGTTCCAGTTATGTTTATGGCTCCTTTGTCATGGATTAACTGTCTATTTTTATGGGCTTTCAATTCTGTTCCATTGGTCAGTGTGTATATTTTTGTTTCAGAGCCAGCTTTTAATTATTGTGGCTTTATGATATAGCTTGAGATATAAAAGTATGATGCTTCCATTCTCTTTCTTCTTTGTCAAGATTACTTTTGCTATTTAGGGTCTTTTGGATTCTATGTGAATTTCAGTAGTGTTTGCTCCAGTTTTTTGAAATATGTCATTGATATTTTTATTGGCTTTGCATTAAATCTATACATTCTTTGGACATTTTGATAATGTTGATTCTTCCACTCCATGAACAGGAAATATTTTCCCACTTCTTTGTGGAGCAATGTTTTATAGTTTTCTTTGTATAGATCTTTTACCTCCTTTTTTAGGCTTACCCTCAAGGTTTAATTTTTATGGTGCAATTGTAAATGGGATCACGCTAATATTTCCTCTTCTCTCTCATTTTTTATATGTAGGAAGTCAAATGATTCATGTGTTAATTGCTAACTGGTTGTTTTTCCAAGGAATCTTGAGGGTTCTCTATGTACATTATCATGACATCTGCAAATAATGATAGCTTTACTTTTATTTTCCAGTTTGAATCTTTCTGTTGTCTAATTGCTCTAGCTAGAACTTCCATTACTATGTGGAATAGCAGTGGTAAGAGTGGACATCTTCATTTTGTACCAGATCTTAGTAGAAAAGCTTTTAGTTTTCTAGCATGGAGAAAGAACAAACTGGTGGGTTTCTTATAAACAGCCTTATTATGTTAAGATATGTTTCCTTAACCCCTTGTTCAAGAGTTTTCACCATTAATGTATGTTGAGTCTTATCAAATGTTTCCTCAGCATCTATTGATGTATGGTTTTTATCTTTCTTTTTGTTTATGTGGTGAATTATATTGATTGATTTTTCAGATGTTGAACCATCTGTGTTCCTGGTATGAGTCCCACTTGATCATGGTATATGATACAATGATGCATAGTTAGATTCAATTTACTAAGATTTTATTTAAAATGTATGCATTTTTCTGGGCCCTTCTTGGTGGTGCAACAGGTTAGGGCACAGCATTGCAAGTTAGCTATAGTCACTTCAGTGTAAGTTTGATCCCTGGCCCCAGCAGTGACCCAGTTGGCCCAGCAGACCTCTCCTGTCTCAACTACTGCACCCCTCAGCAGTGTACTTCATTGATCTGCCTGTTCTGCCCCCCACTCTGTCTCTAGTGAATCCTCTCACTGCCCCTGCACCTCTGGCCTGTACCCCAGTTCTATATGCATACATAAATAAATCTTAAAAAAAAAAGATATATGCATATTTTCAATTGGTCTTAATTTTTCTTCTCTCTTTTGTTTATGTGTGGTTTTGGTATTAGAGTAAAGTTGTTCTCATAGAAAGTATTATATGTATTCCTTCTTTTTCAATGTTTTAATTTCTTTGTCTTTGGTATTCTTAATTCTGTAACTAATAAGGGAACTTGTCTGTGAATTGGAGTTCTGAGTATTTATTCTCTTTGTGTTTTAGTATTCCTTTGAGAATGAATGTTGCCATTGGGGAGTTTTCTTTTTGCCTGTCACAGCTTTGGAACCCAGCTGCAGTGTGTGGGGCTTCCTCTGAAAGTAAAAACCCCCTTCACTGGTCAGAATTCTACCTATCTGGACGAGCAGCTGGCTAAGATCTCATTAATAGTTGTGAGGCCTCAGCCCACTCTAGCTCACTCTCCAATGTGGGTCTGAGTATAAAGGTGCTTTTAGGATCTTGTAAGAGGTCATTAGACCTCTGCAAATCTAAGAAGGAGCTGGGGGTTGCAAGGCCTCTGACCACTCTGTCATCCTCCTCAATACAGGTCTGGTGTCTCACAAGTGTAGGTGGTAGAATAAGATATAATGAAAGGTTGCAAGGCCTCTGGCTATTTTGGCACCCTCCCAGAAGAGGGTCCAAGGTCTTACCAGTCTGTACAGGTGTTGGTGGGGTGTAATGGAAGGTTGTGAGGCCTCTGGCCATTCTGACACCTTCCCCAATGTGGATGCAGGATCTCACTTGTCTGGATGGACACTGGTGGTGTCTTGCAGTAGGTTATGAGGCCCCTGCCTATCTGGACAGGGGTTGGCCTGGTCTTCCTAGGGGTCACAAGGCCTCTAATCATTCTTGACTTGGGTCTAGAGTCTCACTGGCCTTGAACTAAATTTTCTAAGCCTAGACAGGCAAGTACTAGGCTCCTACATTTACACAACTGCCCATCTACCTCTTTTGTGAACATCTCATTTATTAATATATGGGTAGCACTTTATAGCTTATTCATATTTACTCAGGAAATTAAGCCATCATTTATTCATTTTATAGATGAGTCACCTGTGACCCAATGAAAACATTTGATTTAGTAAGTAGGAGGAATTTTGTCAGAGGTCTGACAAAATCTTTTACTGCATTGTACAATGTTCTGAGCTGTTGAAGTTGAGACCCCACCTTTAAATACCCTGAATTATTTGGTCTGATTACAACGAGATTTTAATGCACAACCAAAATAGTATAGTCAAGTTTTTTCAATGACTTTGGAATATTGAGTTA